TTCACCTTGCACCTCTTATCTTTGTGTCGTGGTGTCATCACTGGATAGCCTTACGGACTGTTAATTTAAACTGAGGCAAGATTTTGAACTAAATGTATTGCCTGTACTTTATTGGTTTTTCACAATAACAATGACAATATAAACAGAGACATTGCCTTAGAGCTTAAAAAAAAAGAAAAAAAAAGTCCATGACTGACATGAAATGGTTTTACCTGAGGAAAAAAAAAATTCAGGAAATTAATACACGGCATCTGACAACTGCTGAATTTCATATCAGACTGACATCTCAGTAGGACGTCATAAGACCTCAAGAAACTGGATCAGTTAAGATGTAATCAAAGCCTCTGACTCCAGAAAGCAAAGGCAACATCACACTGTTTTTTAAAATTAATGCGACACTAAAAGATATAATCTAGTAAAACAAAAATCAACTAAACTTACGATTTGTGACATTTCATGGTAGTCTAACAATGCAAACGTGGTAAAAATCTTTTGCAACAAAACCCAAGACTGGAAACATTGGAGATAGGTTGATTTCTTTTCTGTGTTTATTTTCAAGCATAAACTGAAATAGTTCACCAGCTGTGAGATTCTAATCTCAGATTGCTCTAAGAGTACTCAAGTAGATTAGTTTCAGAAGTTATTTTTCAGGCTTCCTATAGCTTTTGGCTGTTGTTGCATATGCTGTCTATAGCCTAAATGCCCACATTGCAGGCAAGTCATAAATACATTTGACAAAAAAGTTAGACTATAAAAAACCCAATTAAAGATAAGAGAGAACTGTGGAGGTGCAGTGGCTAAGTAAAGGATCAGTATAAATGATTTCTTACATGCTAGTATACTCACATGTAATTAATTAAACAGCCAGTGAATGTTAGGAGTGTAAACTATGAAGAGCATAATCTGTAACATGAGTTACTTTATTTAGACATTTAAAATACATATATTTAATAATAAAATGCACTATATAATTAAATAAGTCATTTTATGTCATAATTACTCAGACCTTGAACTGTGTCCTTCTGTCAGAAAAACATTTCAATTCTTTCACCTGGCATATCAGAAATATCTAGGGAAAGCATGCAGACTGACATAAAGGCCTGCAGCTAAGTTGGAACTGGAGGCAGTGGTTAAATATGTTGCCCCAGTGAATAGCCCCTCAAGCTCACCTGCAGCAGCTGAACTAGAGCAGCTCCAGCCTTGTGCTAGCAAAGTATCTGCAGGAAACATAGCTAAGTCAGCCGAGGTACCGACTCACTGTTTTGTGAGACTCATTGCTGACCTTCGTAGTCAGACAATTCAAAATGAAGGATATGAATGTATGTTATGAAGATTGCTTTGGCTTTTCAAATAAGTGTAATGTTGATAAACTGACACTTTAGAGATCATGTTTTCACTGTTGTAGTTTGTGAAAGCAGAAAAGGCAGCAAATGCGGCTTCATTACAGAATAAGTCCATTCTAACATGTAAAAAGCAGCTAACTTTTTCTGCGCGGATTATGAAAGACAGGTTTTCTGAATCAGAAATTATCTTGTACGGAAAAATCAGGCTTTAAAGTTAATTTTTCCATACCCTCACTGGCCATAATGCCACAAGCTGATTAAATAATGCCATGCTTTATTTTGTCCTCCTGTGTGTTTCAGTTAACACATTTTAAGACGAAGAAACATCAGTAAGGTAAGAGGGTGGTATAAAAAGCATTACCAAATGAACATTTGTGTGCAAGTCCAACATTCATATAGAGAGATTGTCCCTAGAGGAGACTCTGTGAGCAGATCCACATAGAGAACACAAAAAAGTTATAAACAACATTGCCGGGAAACAGCCGAGACACTGCAGCAAGGGCAGGGGGGCACCGAGGGGTCCAGGGCTCTGCAGGCTCAGGGACCAGGGCCAGCTCAGCCTGGGGAAGGCAAAGTTCAAGGGACAGCAAAGCACAGCCCTCAGCACCTGCAGGAAAGCCATCAAAAAGGTGGCATTGCGCTCTTCACAAGAGTAGATGCTGGGAGGAGAGACAACAGGTATGGGTTGAGAGACTACCTTAGATTAGGTATAGGAGAGGAAAAAAAATCATCCTGACAGTAGTTTTGCATTGGAGTTTGTTTCCCAGAGAGACTGTGGGAAAGATTGGGGATTTTCACATCTGTACAGGATAGACAACCTTCTCTGGTGTCATGGCTGACCCAGCTGCGATAAGCAGTCTGGACCAGAAACTACTCAGGTCTATGCCAGTTGGAATTATCCTTTGATACTATGGCAATCTCTGAAGAATATCTACAAAATCTCCCTACACATTAGACCTGCTATTCTTACCAGTGTGAAGTTTTCCTATTGTCTAATGTGAATTTGTTCTACAATGCAAGCACATAACCTTTTGTTTTTCACTACACTCTTGGTCTTTGCAACAACTTGCTATGTTTTGAAGATTGTTACCATGCTGTTTCAAGACCCTTAGAACTTAGACCCTTAGAACTTTTCTGTATGCTTAATACTTCAGACCATTAAGTGCCCCATTTAAATTTGTTCTATTTTTTGGACTACCATATGTGTCAGTTTTCTTGGAGATTTCTGAGTATTGTTAGAGTATACAGTGTAATACAGCGGGAGTACAGTCAGCTAGGTTTTAAAATTGTACTTTTCTAGTCCACATATCACTGATTTTCTTATTGAAAGTTTTCATAGTGCATTTTTTCTCCTAGTGTTGTAGTTCCTAGGATACATATAATATGACTTAAGCTGCTTCTGAAGTGGAATTTGCAGATATTGCTCTCTTGCCTTTTTACTTACAAGAAATTATTAAACTGTAATTCTTATGGTAACTTATTCTGTGCAGTCATCCACAACTGTAAGCTCTAAGACTGTTCCAAATTTGCATGCCTGCAGTTCTTACATACAGATTTTTTCTCAGTGGAACAGCATTATGCTAGCTTCTTCCCCTCATTTTTTTTTTTCCAGCTATGTTTTTTCCTTTCTTTTTTACATAATGAGCTGCTCACTCATTTTCTTTGTTCCTCAGAGGGTTTTGCATCTTCTATAAACACATACACGAGCGTTTTTTCTGAGGCTACCTTTTCTTTCCATTCCTTCAATTCTGCTGTCAGAAAAACAATTTTGCTTCAGTGCCTGAGGATGAACACTCTTATATATCAGCCTTTCCTATATTTAAACAAGCCTCTCAGAGTGACAGTGAATGTAGCACAGGAGAGATTGAAGGGGTGAAGCTGCCTTCTGCCTGAAGCCAGGCTGGGTAGACAGAGCTGTGGCAGCTCTGCACTTTGCCTCGGGATCAGCATCCCCAGTTGCACTGGTTATTCTGCCTGTGGTATGGCAGATGAGGAAGTACAACTCCTTCATCCAACAAATTATGTAAGGACAGATGTTTTCAGCTTACTCAGACATTAATATAAGGACACTATAGGATGCCCTGTAAAAGGAAGAGAACTACATCAGGATGTGCTTGAGCTGAAATTGGAGACGTTAGTGCAGCATGCATTGCTGTAGCTTAAAGCCTAACTGGCATAATGAGCAACTGCATCAAAATGCAGAAACAGAAAATTTGGCATGAGCTTGCAACAAGAATAAGGGCATGGGAAGTCCACTAAGATCTACACCTCTAAACCATCAGTATTGTCTTGCTGCTAGACAGGTAAAAGGTAACTTGAAATCACCCCCTGCAATGCAGTGACTCCTTCCGCTGCATTGAAGAAATAGCTTGAAGGCTTGCTTTCAAAAGGGAAGAAATTCTTTGGGTTCTTCTAGATTTATTGCTGCCCAAGCAAAATTACAACAGGCAAATTTATTCACTTGGTGCCATTAAGGCACTTGGGCAAAATTCCCTATAAAGCCTTGCCCATTTTCTTCAGAACAAATACAGGTGCAGCAAATTTTGCATTTTTTTTCCACATGTACCCCTTATATATACCAGTTTGAAGAGTCACAGTACCCTATGCTTTCTTTGATTTTTAGGGTTCATTTTTAAAGTGTTTATTGCCTAAATCTCATTAAATATAAAAAGACTATATGTACTGATGTGCTGTGTACCCATTGAGCTGCTACTGATGGGAGGACAAATTAATCTTCACTTTATTTAAATGAAATCTAAAACATCTACAGCTTGTAAAAATGTGAATATTTTACCATTTCTCTTATTTAAAAATTATTTCCATATTTGTTGTCCGACTATACACAGATGGATTTTGTCAACGGCAGGTGATTGCAGGAATCACAGAATTTTGTGACCTTTGACATATGCCCTTTCCAAGCAATGCAAGCCACTAAAAATGTTATGAATATGTCTGCAGAGCCTCTCTGATAAGTATAGCTAGTCTGGTGTCAAATATCATCTACTGCAAGATAAATATTGGAATAAAAAGGCAGACTGAATGTGAGCAATCTGAGTTTATCAAAATGTACTCTTTGACCTGCAACGCCAGTGGCAAAACACACTGAAGTGGGACACGTGCTCCCATGGAGTTAAAAACAAAGGTCAATAAGGGCTGTTGCTGAATAATCCACAAATACATCTTAGTTGTCATTTAGAACTGTAGTCTAGTCATAGTGGGAATAAATTCCTTAAATATTGAAAAGGTGGAATATTGAGAGTAATTGACTGTCATACAGTGATCAGTTTTGACTATTATTTTAGATCTATTTAAGATATAGAAGGATAATTCCCTTTCTACAATTTGTTCAAGCCAAGGCCCTCTAGAAATTCACAGATGCAACTTTTTAGTTATGTTAATATTAGTCCAGTAGGAAGAATACTGAAACACATCATGTTAATTAAGAATCAACCATGAAACAACAGAGATGTCCAGACTGGATTGCAAACGCTAATTGAAATAAATAAATCTGTAACCCCCTGCAAGACTTATTAAATTAGTGCAACTGCCATCACTCACATTATATTTATTTCTCTTAGTGGGAAGGATATCACAGCATGCACTCCACACTTGTACCTGTAGTAATGTCTCTCTCCTTGTTTTTGTTTTCTCTCCTAGGTTTTCCCCCCCTAGCTGAGCAAGTGACACACAGAGAAACATGCCTGAGCAAAGCAACGATTATAGGGTAGTTGTGTTTGGAGCTGGAGGAGTGGGAAAAAGTTCTTTGGTCTTGAGATTTGTGAAGGGCACTTTCAGAGAGAGCTACATCCCTACCATTGAAGACACCTATCGGCAGGTGATCAGCTGTGATAAGAGCATATGCACTTTGCAGATAACCGACACTACAGGGAGCCATCAATTTCCAGCCATGCAACGTCTCTCTATTTCTAAAGGACATGCTTTTATTTTGGTTTACTCTATCACCAGCCGACAGTCCTTGGAGGAACTCAAGCCAATCTACGAGCAAATATGTCAGATTAAAGGAGATATAGAAAGCATTCCAATCATGCTGGTGGGGAACAAAAATGATGAGAACCAAAATCGAGAGGTAGAAAGCAGTGAAGGAGAAGCCATGGCTAAGAAGTGGAAATGTGCCTTCATGGAGACCTCTGCCAAGACAAACCACAATGTGAAAGAGTTATTCCAAGAATTGCTAAACCTGGAGAAACGCAGGACTGTGAGTTTGCAAATTGATGGCAAAAAAAGCAAGCAACAGAAAAGGAAGGAGAAGCTGAAAGGAAAATGTGTGGTGATGTGAAATTGCACTGTCAGGAATCAGCTGTGAAGTCTCATCTGACAATACGCATGTAAACCCATAGACAGCAAACAACCATGCAAGATCCTATTTATTAGTATCTGTTTTAAAAGAAATACTTGGAAATTGAAGAAATAAGGTACTGTAATTGCTTTGAAAAAATGGAAAAACAAAAATATGTGTAGTCTCACAATCAATTAAAGCATATCAGGAAGAAAACAAAAGATTTCCTGGAATACCTTATTTTGTAATTTACAAAAAGAATTGTCATCATTCACATAATATGAAAGATTGAAAAAACAACTTAATATTACCTGCATTTGCATATAATTTCAAGAGAAAACAATGTGTAATATCAGAAGAAAAACAAAGTGGTAGTAAAGAAACCTAGAACATACAAATACATGCTGGTGGTGTTAACCATTTCCTTAAAGAATGCTGTGGATGAAAAATTCTGTGTCATTTTAATTACTGACTGGTGGGAGAGTGTGCATAAGACAGTCTTGGATCACCTGAATAAATTAACTGTTGCACAGTAAAAGGAAGTGTGGGGATAGCAGCGGAAAGGGACAGATATTGTCTCTATGCCCCCAGCATGATACTTCTTTCTAGTATGATGCAGTGTTTTAACTGAAGATCGTGGAAAAGCCAAGTCCTGTAAGTTGGAGATCATCTTTTCTGGGCTCATTGTTTCAAGGATGACCTGAGTTTTCAGCCCAAATATATTTCAGAAGAACAAACATTTATTTGTGGAGAGTGCCAGATGGAATGGTGTACGTACAAAACCGGAAAGCTTCCCCAGGGAGAACTGACTGGGTCGTCACCTACGAAAGGCTCTGTGGGAGAGACTTAGTTCTAGTGCTGCTGCCAGTTAGGTGAACACATGGTGTGGTTAGTGAATGAATGCAATGTCTTTTGAACTGGCAGTACCCTTGGAGTGGGGTTGGCATAATATACAAATTATCGTATTAGCTGACTGATACTTCTTTACATTACTATATTCCTGTTAGAAGGGTTTATGCTCATGCCCTACGAGATCTATTGCCTTTATATTGTCTGAAGTATTTTATATCTGCCATTTAAACTAATGATTTGAACTGCTGTGACTATAGAACCAAATATATATCTGAAGTTAGTGACCACAAGAGTCTCTAAAATGGTTTTTATTTGGGATAAGCACTACAGGATCTGGAATATTCTGCTGTCAGAAGTGTTACAATGCAATACAAAGTTCAGAATAGAAAACACATTGTTTAAACATCCTGTCAGGGAAAAGTGCTCTTCTCAAAACCTTTGAAAGGGAAAAAAAATTGTGAGCTTTCCTGGATGTCTGTCCAAAGCTTTTTAAAAAACTAATATGAATGACTGAAGTACCTATCCTAGTGATGAAAAAGGCCATCTATAATAAAATAAGCACATACAATTTTTAGACGACACATTAAAATTATGTAAGTCTCAATTTGTACCTTAGGAACTGCTTTGAACGAATAAAAAGAGCCTACCATATTTTTAATAAATGTTTATGTTAAGAAACATGGGAAAATGAAGTCAAGTACTAATATTATTAGCCTGCATGCTAGTGCATTATAAATATTTTCCAGGGGATGTTCAAATGCAGTGTTTGCATTAAAGTTTGCTACCTTGTTCCTTTCGAAGTTATTGCTTGCTTATCTTCCACATTTCTAGCAAATGTGCAGATATTTCAGAGGTAGATAATAGCATACAAAAGAATTGCTACTAGTGCTGTCTAGAGGGGAGCACAACTTCTGTCATGCAGTCAGAAGTGCTGGCACCTGTAGAATTGAATGTGAAACTCCTACTGATTTCAAAGAGACAGATTTTTTTTTTGCTCTTTATTTTATTGTTTTAAGAAGAGAAAACTGGAAAGACCATGGAAAAATTAATGCTCTTCATTAACAGCAAATTCCAGGCTCTTACACAACACTCTTTCTTCATAAATCTCAGAGCACTTTGCAAAAATGACGACATCATTTCCTTAACTTCTCAGGTGGTGAAAGTGAGGCACAGAGAGGGGAAACAACTGCACTTAGATCGCCTAGCAGGACCGTGGCAGACCCAGGAACAAAGGCAGATCTCCTCTGTCACAGTCCAGTGCTCATTCTGTGTTTTGTCAGACTGTCTCTTTGCATTCTTAAATAGTTCCTTGAAGAATCCTGGTTTGGCCTATACAGCCAAGTGCATCTTTCTTGATAGTTTGTCAGTAGATCAAAATATATTTCCACATCAGGGATGCAAAACACTTAAAAGCACTATATTTAGTAAGACTTTTATAAATATTTATACATTTACTCTTTGTAAAAATCTTTGCTGATGATGCTCAACATCACAGCAATGGATTCCATGGATGAAGCTGGAAAATCAGAAAAATTATCAACGTTAAGGCATAATGGGTCACATACAGAGGTCAAAAGCCCTCAGATGCTAACACACCGGTGCCAAAGGTCATCATGTGTGGCACATGCCTTAGCAGCCAGCATAGTATTATGACAGAATCTCAAAGAGAAAAATAAAAGCTATATATAGAACCTTTTAACATTATTGCTTGAACTGGAGGAATTATTTATGTAGTAAAATATCTTGCAGAAGTACAATATAGGGGATCTAAATTACTTAAAATGTACTGACTGCAAAGATATTACAGGCTGAAATTTAGCCCTGGACTTTTTTTTTTTTTGAATGTGCCTCATAGCAAGAATAGAATAATTGTATAGCAAAGATGGAAATAAACCAAGTACCTGCCAATGTTTAGGCTTGAGGACCATATTCCTTTAGTTCCCAGCTGACTCCTCACCTGCTATGTAATAAGCCATGAAGTATTTCATGGACTTGCATGTATCAAAGCAAGGCCAGAACAGAAGCAATATTACTCAAGGACCACAGACTCAAAATAGAGCATATTTTATACCCTTGCATTGCCATCCTTGTTTCTACTATTAGATTTTACATATCTTGCATACGTGTGAGCTGGTTCAAAATGTTTGTTTTGCTATTACAAATAGAATTATTTTTTTTAATATGGAAAAAATAAGGTAGAACAAGAAAATTTAAAGATTTATTACATTTTGTGTTTTATTTGGGAATGTGGTATGACTATAATAGCCTGTTCAAAATGTTTATGCAAAATATTTAAAACATGTAAGTTCCACAGTGAATTTTAGCACCCAGAAAACACAGTCTAGCCAAAAGAGATCTTTAAAATGCATGGCTTTTATATGTAGATATGAAATATTAAGGTATGTTCTTGTCATGAAAATGTGTTGTTGCAATTTCTTTAGCAAACATTTTGTTTCAAAACTGAATAAGAAGTCATTTGTGTCTACTAGTTTCCATATTTGTGGTGATCTAAACATTCAAAATAAAGTTTTAAATCTTAACACAAATTTGGGAGAAGTCTTGTTGTTGCCTGCATTTGTTTGATTCGTGTTATATATTTTTTGAAATTGCAAAGGCAATTCTCTAAATCAAAACAGACTCTAACATGCTAGGCAGTGTCCCAAAATCTTCAGCTATACAAATCAGTGCTGAGAGAGCTAGAGCAGTATTACCTTACCTAATACTTCTTCTATTATACTCTGGCAAACACACAAAGAATTCTACCTCCATTAAAAAAAAAAAAACTAAGCCAAAAAACCAAACCAAAACAGCTTATCAGTGTATGCTCCTTTTGGCCAACAAAAAGCAAAATAATTATTCTAGTCTGTATTTTATTACTTTCTTTAAAATAATGGCAGATAGAACTATATGGTTGTGAAAAATTAATAGTTAACGTATGGATCCTGCTATTCCTGCTCATTTCTAAAAAATTCCTGATCTTGCAAAACTTCCCACTATTGCATTCATATTGTATTACTACCTGTTGAAAAAATGACAAAAATAATAGTTTACCACTTCTTGCAATTCAGAAGATGCAGCCAAAGTTGTTCAGTTAAATAATTATTTTCATATGCAAGCAATAATTAATATTCAACAGAGGAAAGGATCCACAAACAATCTGGAGTAAATTGACACAATGGTAAGCACTTGAACCAGTGCTGAAATATTGAGCATTGAATGTAAATTTAATATTACTGTGAAGTAATTACATTTGTCAGCACACAATGATTTTTATTTTTAGTAAAGAGTTCTCATGAATTCTTATTATTTTATCTTTTCTTCTTCTTTCAGTATGTTGTCAGTTACTGGTCTTGGTCCTGATTCTGACAGAGTCTATGGCAAAGCCGTGGATGTGCCAATTCATTGTCTGGGGTTTTACACAATACAGTCACAAATTACTTTGTAGATGTTATCATATTCTGCAGAAATACCAGAAATGTTACAAAATTCCCTTGCTTTTAATATTTTTCCCATTGGTTACTAGTCCTGTTTCCCAATGGAAAATATTTTAGTTTTTTGCTCATACACCAATTCAAATTTGTGAATACCTGCCACACTTATTTTTCACTAGTAATTTAACTGACATGTTTCACCTATCTTTGAAGCACATTTTCTAAGTAATGCACAAATTTATTTCATGTCATCAAGTGTGTCTAAAGTTTAACTCCACTAAAACTGCAAAGAGGGAGAGCAGAGCTTTGAAAATACATGGTGGGTGTTCCTTGTGAAGGAACTTGTGAAGGAATGCAGATTCTTCTGTAAGTTAACCAGATGTATTTGCAGTTTAAACAAAGAATTAAAACTCTTCTGTTTCCTATGATTTATCTTGGTTGAGTACACTATTTCCTAGTGGGTCATAGGGGTTATGAAATCATAAAGAAACTGAAGTTCGAAGGAGGAGCTGTTACTCAGTCTGATATATTTATTTCATACTCAGATGACAACAAGCGGCCCACAATGAATCCCACAAGAGCATCTCTATTCTCAGATTCTCAGATCATGTTGCAGCTGGCAAGGAGAAGGGGCAGGGCAGGGATGCAGCACCAAAATCCACCCCAAAACTAAAATCAGCTTCTCAGCCTCCACACCTGGTGCTCTAAAAGCTGTGGATGACAGTGTGTGTCACATGGAAATTACCACTGTATTTGTATTAATTTCAGTAGAGAAAGCAACAAATAAGCAGAATTGGTGTTCTTTCATTAGGCAAATATTTTTTTTTATTATATCAGAGGAGAAAGAATGTTCTACATTGTCTTTCAAAGAGAGATGGGATGACCATTGAGGGGCTATTCATCCCAATGTACATCTGCTTTGCTGCAACTTCTGTTCGGTGTTATTGAAAAGATACTTTGTCTTTGGAATTTGCCTTCCTTCTTTACTGGCTCAGACCTTGCTTCTGACCAGGATGGTCCTAAAAAATTATTCTTGACCTATTTGTTACTTTTTAATTGCAATAAAATAATTCTGTATACTTAGGCACATGAATTTGATTCCAGATTTTCCCTGCAGGCTAGATGTCTCCTGTGCAGTGGGCTCATTCTAATAAAGTAGAAGTAGGAGGATTATAATTTTGGAGGTGAGGTAGACCCAAAGAAAATTGGAATACCAGAAAATTTAACATTTTACAAAACTTACTATTTCCCAGAATATTTAACATCAGTAAGGACTCCTAAAAGTATTTTCAAAAGAAAAGGCAATTTAGAGTGGTTGTGCTGAGCTATACTAATGAACATGGCCCTTTGGACCATCACAACAGTAGGTTCCACAAGGAGAGCAATAGCTTCTCCCTCAGTGATCTCATCAAATCTTTAACTCCTGATAAAAGCAGCTTTACCTTGGGTAGATGACTTACATGCCTGTATAGAACACACTCTATAGCCACAGGGTTTCAGCTCTCTTTTTCTTCCTCTTGGACTAGTTTTGGCTGAGGTAGAATTAATTTTCTTTCACAGTGGCTGATATGGGTGTGTGTTTTTGATTTGTGCTGTGTAGGGATCTCTAGCTGGTCAGAGTGACCTCGAGATACTCTGGAAAGTCTCTTTTCTCAGCTTGGCGCTTGAAGAAGGAGTCAGAGTTCTTAATTTCTCAGTCTCAAGGTTATTTTTTGTATCTTATCTCTAAAATTCTTTCTCCTGTCTTGCCAAGGTCCACTCAGCAAGACAGTCAGAGGCACTCTGCCTTCCCCGGGGTAGTGTTATGTCTTTATACTAAAAACTACATGCACAATATTTACAATTACTTTGCAATACCTATCATCTATGTTAGACAGTGAGCTTCTACTCTAAACCAATCTAAAAGTGCCAACATCACAGCAGAGGATAGAGGCCAAGAAGAAGAAGGAGAAAGGCAGGGCATGCTCAGACCCCTTCATCTTGCCTCCCTGAATCCCCATTCTAAAAACCCCAAAATCTACTTTTTCACCTTGTGATAAATTCACTATCATTCTACTTAATTTGTCGTGGCTTGTAGATCTTCATCTAAGGTTGGTAACTTGCTCAATGGGACAAAATCAAAACCACAGGCATCTTGGGCTCTGTGCCAGGGTCTCTGAGCCCCCTGGCAGGGGTCTTGGCTGCTCAGGACAGCCAGAGGGATGTCCTGGGTCCTGACAGTGTTGAACAGTGTGCTGATAGTATAGAGATGGTTTTGTTATTGCAGAACAGGGCTTACACACAGTCAAGGCCTTTCTTGCTCCTCGTACTGCATGCTGGTGAGGAGGGTAGGAGTGCACAAGAAGCACAAGAAGCACTAGAGGCACGACAAGCTGGGAGCAAACAGTTGATCCCAACAGGCCCTACCAGGCCATACGGCATCACGCTCACTATGTAGAGCTGTGTGACAGGGGAGGAAGGCCAGGGACATTTGGGACGATGATGCTTGTCTTCCCAAGTCACTATCGTGTCACTATCATGGCACTATCATGACACTATCACAGCTCTCCTGGAGATAGCAGAAGACCTGCCTGCTATGGAAGGAACAGAATTCATTCCTTGAGAGGCTTTGCCTGCATGCACTGCTTCCGCTTTACCTACCAACCCATTAATGTCCATTTCATCCCGTGATTGTTTTCATTTGTACTTTCACTATTCTCTGCCCAATCCCATTGGTTGCAGGTGTGAGGAAGCAGCTGCTGTGGTAATTACTTGCCTGCTGGGGATAAGCCACAATACCTATTTAGTCCAGGCAGTCCTCTTTCCCACTACATGGAGAGAGACAAGATGTCCTCCACAATGAAAGGAGATGACATGTACAACCATGAGCACCACGCCCTTTCCTTCTGCAAACCTCGCACTGAATCAAGGCTTGCCTTTTAAAATGAAATTAAAACCCAACTGGAGCAACAAAGTCCAATACAGCACCAAGAGGAAGCAAGATAGTCCTATAGAAACACGTCTGTAAGTGACCAAATAATAGTATCTTTATATGTAGCTCTAGGAAGTATATGTTCATGTTCCAGCAAATGGTAAAACATTTTGTTAGCATACAGAGGCTGAATTACAGACAATGGCTTTTCTGGGGATGCCGAATGCAGAGAAAAAGTGAGTGTGTTTATTTATAGTGTTTATAATATTTCAGAAGGTTGAAAAAAACGAGGACAAAACCAGTAACATATCCTTGGAATTATCCTAATGATAAAATTTATTAGGTCACAGGTGAATCACTCAGAGCAAGTAGCAGTCAATATGAACCTTAGAAAAAGATTGGGGTAAAAGAAACAGTCTTAAATTCTGTCCTTTCTTTTTACTGCCACAGCCATATTTGTCCATGGTTGCTCTCCTGTTTCTTTTGAAACTCAAATCTGAATTGAAGACTCCTTAA